ATAGCAGCGCTGTATCCGCTCTGTTCTGGGACAGATGCTTGTCAAGCAGACAAAACCCTTGATCTTGAGATGTCTCTGTCTGGCCCTCGTGCAGCACCCACGCCTGAATGGGGCTCACCCCGTGCTCAGATCTAATCAGCAGCCTTTCCTGGCCAGTCTAGAGTCAGGGGAGAGAGGATATATGGCCACAGATGTACTCCCTGTGTCTGATTTATTTGGGGGGTGGGAAGGAGAGGGGAAGGAGAGGGAGGTGCCAGACAACCTAATCTTATTTGCAGGTCAAATCCAAAGGTTCTAGTTTTTATCATGGTTTAAGGGGAATTTTGTCTAAATAAGAAATGAATAGGGACTTAGAGGTTTGCCTCTGGTTTTGTATTTACTAAGCAGTCATCTTGGGAACTTGGTATGTGGAGGTTACATGTTAGCAGCCATCACTGTGTTATCCTGCCTCTTGATTTGATTTCTTGTTGTGAATGCTTCCTTTTGAAAGTATCTTTGCCATTAGAGTCATGTGAGCAGCTGTATACATAAAAGTTAAATTATAAGGGATCAGTATAGCCTTCCCAGCTTCCTACCTTGCTATAGGTCCACAGCAGACAAACCACCTGTCTTCTGAAACTCAGCTATTATAAAAGATGCAATGAGCTTGATAGATGTCTAAAAAGTAATTTTCTATTGCAGACTTAATTGTCACAAGCATGGCCTGTGCTACTTTCTGGACTGTCTCCAGCAGTATTTCAAGACCTGATCTTCTTATTTATGGGTTCTATTTAAGGATTTATGGATCATGTGGCCATTGTCAACTCTTGTAGAAGAAGGAGTTCCCCCTGCTAAAATAACTGTTATGCATCTTCCCAGAGTCTTGCTGTTGAACACTAGTTCATTCTGTTGCATGGACGCTTTCAGCTTTTTGTCTCTCTTTTGCATTGATTGTATGCTTTGGACTTATCCTACCAGATAGGGGACACTTCACTCAGTACCACTGCCCTGATTTGCATGTATTCAGTGTGATAGCAATAGCGGGGCAGAGACCTGTGAGAGGAAATGATGTCTGATAGCAAAGAGGTAGTGGAAATTATGATCCTCGTGGTATAAAGCTGAAGATCACCCAATACCAGCTGACTCTCCGCTGTTGTTGCAGCCTCCTGTTGTTTGCGTCCCGCAGGGCCAGGGCAGTGACGTTGCTGGAATGACACCTCTCTGCGCCAGATGTGGATGTGTTTTGTCGCACTGGCGTCAGAGGAGTGACACCGTGACGCCTCCTGGGTGACTAGCAGTGACTCAGGGCTAGCAGTGCCGCAAGGCTGCCTGGAGGCTCAGTCCTCAGAGCAGGACTCGTGCTGAAGGGTGGCTCTTGTCACAGTTACCCCTGCTGGGATCAGTGCTGCTACTTAGAGGAGGGATCGAGGATGTGTCTACTTCACTCTGGGCAGGCCAGAGCTATGTAGATCCCCTCCAGTGATTTCTGGGCTGAGTTTAGTAGATATATCTGAGGGCAAACTTGTGCCTTGTATAAGCAACCTTGCTGACCTAGAGCTACAGAGTGAGTTTTAACTCTTCTGTCCTCTGTCATGTGAATGTTAAAACTGTTACCTCAATGTTTTATCAACAGCAATTTTAAAACTCAATAGTTTTATTCTATGTTGTAAAGCACTTTTGCACCAGTTCCCAAGGGGGAATGACAGTAAGAATGGTTCACTGTGTTTTTCAGATTGGTTAGGTTAATGTTTTTCATGTTAATGAACACATATTAAGATCTTATTAGACAGCGTGTCTGTGGGCGAAGTTCCTGTTGATCCCACTGGGGAGTTTTAGCTATGTCAAAGAATTGCAGGATCAGGTCATTATTGTATTGTTTTAGAAAATGATTGTGACCTCCACTTAACGTTAAAATGTTTGTCAAAGCAAGTGAAAACCGGTGAAGAAAAGTATTCCCGAATTCTGAGATTTTAGTCTGCAACCCATAGCCTGAGTTTGGAGGTCCAAACACATGAACAGAGGCTACCCTGGTAGAGGTTGTTTTTGAAATAATATACAAATAGTTTGAGGAATAATAATAATAATAAAAATACCCTCTGCTTAAAATCAGATTAAAAATTTAAGAAGGACTGGCAAGGTCCTGGAGTGTGTTGAGGAGTGGCTAGCAATAGAAACCACCACGGCATTACGGAAGGTAGAGATAGTGTTAATTACAGAAGGTGGTCGTCCCACAGAGAGGGAGGTTGGTGGCAGCAGTGATTAATTTCAGAGGGCAGTTTAGTCATTGTACTATTCCTAGACAAGGCTCTGAATTTAAGTGATACTTAGACTCTTAAGTCATTTTTGAAACCAAATTTAGGCTCTTGAGTCACGTAGATGTTTTCGAACTTACTCCTGTCTTTCTGTCAGCCATTTCTGCATGGCTGATCTTGGAAGACACAGCACCTACTGGCTGCTGTACAGTTAAGTAGGAGCTGGGAGCTGGAAGTGTCAAGAGGTTGGTGGATACCTGCCAGCAATTGCAGTACAGAAAAGGATGATCTGATGCGCCCAGAGTGCTTTTGGAGCTGCTGTGCTTGTGCAGTTGGTCTCTGTGTGCACCTTGAGTCAGAGGCACCTGGAACGTGTCATCTTTACTGTGCATGTGCACACATCTACCTTGCAGCCCAGAGAGCTCGGGCTTGCCGCTCGTAGTCCCTCTGCACATGTTCACTGGCCCTTTCTCAGAGATTTCCCAAGATCCTGCAGCCAAAGATCTGGGAAAATACCATGCGGAGCGGGAGGGAAGACACAACGGGACTGTCGAACTGAAGCCCAGTTGTATGTGCTGGGTAGCTCAGTCTTCCCTGTGACCCTGAGCTAAGCAGGCAGCGAGGCATTTTAACAAGACTTCAAGGGCTGGGGCTGGGGCTGGCTAACAGCTCTCACTGGCGCTGAGGTCCCTCTGATCCCCGGGGGCTTGGTCGGGCACCGGAGCCAGGGTAGACAGGCAGATAAGTGAGCACCGGAGAGAGAAGATAAGTAGGCTAATGTGGGAGAATCTGTCTCTTCTGAATTAGTCCAGGTAGCATGAAGAAGTATATTGTTTTTTCATATCAAGGGTGTCAGATATGGATTTGTGATCCTGATACTGCATAATCAATTCTCTCCCCTCTGCCGTGCTTTGCCAGGAGCGATTTTGTTCATTTGCAGTCCTTGTTCATGCTTTCCTTCCTGTTTTGCTTGTCTTTATAGATTTTTATCTGAAAGTTGAAAACATTTTTGTTGATATCGGGAAGATTGCACCCGCTTTTGGAAAGAGGCGAGCGACACAACACGATGATAAAATAGCCATTCGAGATGTATTTGTTAATGCTGGTAACAGTAAAATGTTGTCTGGAATATTTACAGTGCAAGGGAGACGGGAGGGACCTCCTCAAGTGTTCAGGGGCCAGTTCATCTCTTCAAACTGCCACCACCTGAAAGTTAGGCATCTGCTCTAAATTGGCTGACTGGGCACCCTCTATAGACCGTGGAGAGAGATGGGAAGCGACGAAATCCCTCCTGGAGATCTGTGTCTTAAATACATTTTTTTGGGTCAGAACAGGGTGGGACAGGAAGGATCGTCCCCTGGAAGCGACTGTCTCTTTCCTCTGACTACAAAGGGAACCTAAGTGACTTCATTTAACTTACTGCCCAAGATTTAGATAGTTACAGTAGGGGAAATTAATCCCAGCCCTACTGATTTGGCAGTACAAACCTCAATGAAAGTTAGTGGGAGTTAAAGCTCTTGAACCTTCCAAGTGCTGTAGATAATGCCGCTATTAAGTTTGATGTTTCCTGTGAGATACTTGGCTGTGTCTGGACTCACAAACGTGATTTGTCAGCTAAGCCTGAGACCACATTCTTCCAGTGGCTTGTTATAAAGGAAGGAGAATAGTGTGACCCATGACAATGTGAAGGGTTCAGAATCCAATTTTAAGTGGTGCAAGCCCTACAGCGATGTAGCCCATAAGTAATAGAAGGCATTATTGGGCAGTGATATGCCAAATCTACGTGATACATCGATTGGCTCCTTTGTTTTTGCATGGTATTTTAGGTTAGAGATGACTTTCATTTTACAGGGTATTTGAAGATATATCAATTTCTTAGGGATGCAGAGGGAATGTTGGTGGGTACATGCATTTTGCTCTGTCTTCTGGGTTCATGAGCCCAGCTTTTTTCTAACCGTTGTGGTTTTGTAAGTTTCTGTGACCATTTAAAAGCCGGATTATTGATGTAAAATGTGATTGTCCAGATCACGATGGAAAGGCTAGTGAAAAATGGCCTTTGGCACTTTGCCTAGCACATGAGTCCTCTGCCCTATTTCTGGGCTGACATCTTTACCTGCTAATGTGGAGGCCCTGTGCTTCAGAAGCTTAGGGGGGCCCTAGGATCCTTCCAGGGACTCTGCAGCCTCTTAGGAGGTTATGCCCGCGGGGATGGTTTGGCCACCGAGGTACTCCATAATTCGTAACTGAATTATGTACAACAAATGGACTTCATTTGGAGATTGCTCATCACAGGCCTTTAATGGTGCTTCTTGTGTTGCTAGTGATTCCTTGACTTGTCTTATCCCCTGGGTGGTGAGACAGGGAAGCCTTTAGATTTGGTTTCTTGTGCTGAGTTGAAGTGCTAGGTGCTGGGGAACACCATGGCATCATCAGGTGAGTGGAAACTGAGCGCTCAGTACTCCTGTTGCACATGCTGTAGGTCAAGAGTGGGCTATTTTATATATACACTTTTCCTCTGAGTTACTTTTCTAGCAATTGATCTTCATCTGCTGGGCATGTAAATGCTGCAGTTTGTTAGAGTCCCTGCTAAATACCTTCTTCAAAGTGACAGAAAGACAACCCCTGCATCTCTACCGGTGCTCTTCAGTGGTGAGATACTGAAGTGCGTTTGGGTAAATGTTGCATCTTCCTTTTCTCTCATGCTTCCCTCCCCCCTCTCTGTTTTGTTTGTTTCAGGTTCTCGGCCTTTTTGGATCTACACAGTGGAAGTTGCATCTTGTGTATGGCGTGGTTAAGCTTGCAGCCTGTCACCTCGGCCTTCCTCCATTTTGGGCTGGTTACTTTTGTGCTGTTTTTGCATGGTTTGCAGGTGGATGCTGGCCTGACGGGAGACTCAACCAGTTCAGTACAAAACAGCTCGTGTTCAGGATCTTTTGACTGCAAGGAAGGTGTTATCCTGCCAATATGGTACCCAGAAAACCCATCCCTTGGGGACAAAATTGCCCGTGTTATCGTATACTTTGTAGCACTGATCTACATGTTCCTTGGAGTCTCCATCATTGCAGATCGTTTCATGGCATCTATAGAGGTCATTACATCGCAAGAGAAAGAAATCACGATTAAGAAACCCAATGGAGAGACTACAACGACCACCATTCGGATTTGGAATGAAACTGTTTCCAACTTGACCCTCATGGCTCTGGGCTCGTCTGCTCCCGAGATCCTTCTGTCTCTGATAGAAGTGTGTGGGCATGGATTCATAGCTGGAGACCTGGGGCCGTCTACAATTGTTGGCAGCGCTGCTTTCAATATGTTTATCATCATTGCCATCTGTGTCTATGTGATCCCTGATGGGGAAACGAGAAAGATAAAACACCTGAGGGTTTTCTTTGTCACAGCTGCCTGGAGCATCTTTGCTTACATCTGGTTGTACATGATCCTTGCTGTCTTCTCTCCAGGTGTGGTTCAGGTCTGGGAAGGTCTGCTCACACTTTTCTTCTTTCCACTTTGCGTCCTTCTGGCTTGGATAGCTGATAGACGTCTGCTTTTCTATAAGTACATGCACAAAAAGTACCGTACTGACAAGCACAGGGGCATTATCATAGAATCAGAAGGTGATCACCCTAAGGGAATTGAGATGGATGGCAAGATGATGAACTCCCACTTTCTGGATGGAAACTTAGTGACTGTGGAGGGGAAGGAGGTAGATGAATCTCGCAAAGAGATGATCCGGATCCTTAAGGACCTGAAGCAAAAGCACCCAGAAAAGGACTTGGACCAGCTGGTAGAGATGGCTAACTACTATGCCTTGTCTCATCAGCAAAAGAGCAGAGCCTTTTATCGCATTCAAGCTACCAGAATGATGACGGGAGCTGGCAATATTTTGAAGAAGCATGCAGCTGAGCAAGCCAAGAAGAGCACCAGCTTGCATGAGGTGCGGCCAGATGAACCTGAGGAATTCATCTCCAAAATTTATTTTGACCCATGCTCCTACCAGTGTCTTGAGAACTGTGGTGCCGTTCTCCTGACAGTGGTGCGGAAAGGAGGGGACATGTCCAAGACCATCTATGTGGACTATAAAACAGAGGATGGCTCTGCCAATGCTGGTGCTGACTATGAGTTCACAGAGGGGACTGTTGTCTTGAAATCAGGGGAGACCCAGAAGGAGTTCTCAGTGGGAATTATTGATGATGACATCTTTGAGGAAGATGAGCATTTCTTTGTGCGGCTCAGTAACCTCCGTGTGGTGGAGAGCGAGGAACCTCCAGAGCTCAGTAACTCCCCATACCCAAAGGCCATATTGGCTTCTCCTTGTGTGGCCACAGTGACTATACTGGATGATGACCATGCTGGCATCTTCACATTTGAGTGTGATGTTATACATGTCAGTGAGAGCATTGGTGTGATGGAAGTCAAAGTCCTAAGGACATCAGGTGCTCGGGGTACAGTCATAGTGCCATTTAGGACAGTAGAAGGGACAGCGAAAGGAGGCGGAGAAGACTTTGAAGACACTTACGGGGAGTTGGAATTCAAGAATGATGAAACTGTGTAAGTAATCCATTTGTTTCTGTTACCGGGTCTAGTTTTAGAGTTTAACCCCACATTTTGCATCCATTACAGGTGAATGCTGACAAGGCACAGGCCCCTTTCTTCAGCTTTCCTTCAGTTTCCCTACTTACCTCTTTCAGGCAAGAACCGACAGCAGGATTTAAGAGCTCAAAGCTCATGTCCCTTCCCTCTTGGGAATGACAAAGTGGCTTAGAAATACTGGGGGGAGAGGGAGGCATAGGAGGAAAATATATCATTCTCTGACGTCCTGTACTAAAGCTAAGGGTTAATGGAGAGTTAATGTAGAGAGAGAAGGAAAAGGGCAAGCTTTTACCTGGCTGGGCAAATATGGGAAAGCCTCTTTTTGAACACCAAACGTAGAACACACAGGAGTTTATTGCAATCCCTAGATGAAAAGTTGACAAGTTATTCCCAGGCAAGCAAGAGCTGCTCAGTAGACATGGGGCTTCATTTTCACAGGAGCAACACATCATACCTGTGTCCCTAGGCTACCTGTGCAACTTGCAGGTCCCTGTGGCAGTTAATTCACAGCATAGGCACAGCTGCAAGCTGTTCTGCTGGACTTGTGAAATCCTTCCAGCCCTTATGTCCCCATGGTCTACCCATATCCCCATGTCACCTTCTCTATGATCTCCCTATGTCTGTTCTTTTACTACCTGTGGTTTTTCCCCTTGTAAAATACCATGGCAATTGGCAATAATGGTCTAAAGCACTGCAGCTCACAGCCTGTCCATGTGGCTCCATGACCCAGTGTTTTCATACCGAATAAAGAAGGGAAGCAGAATACTCTGCACCAGTCCTGTTAATTCAGCTCTTTTATTGCGTACAAAGTAGCTGATACGAAGCTAGGAAGTAATAAAGACCAGAGAGGCGATAATGTCTAATTGCTTTAAGTACCTGCTGTTAACATTAGTGGGAATGAGAAAAATCCCTTAGCTGAGCAGGAAGAGGGAGGGGGGTGTGAACCTGGTGCTAAAACTCCCTAGTGTTAAGTGCCTAGGTTCCTCTTGTTAACACCTAATCACTTGAGCCATCAAAGGAAGAATTGTGCAGACTTGCAACTGGCATCAGAGAAAGGAAATCTTTGTACCAAGCTTCCCAATTCAGTACCCGAAAGGATGTTAATATATTAAATGCTATGGAGTAGGGATGCCCTAATTCAATAGCACCTTCTGCCTTAGCCCACTAAACCATTTAATCCAGCTAATATCCACAGTCCTGATGCTTGATTGTAAGTACGTGTTCTTCCTATTAAAGGAAGAGAAGCTCCTGGTTGGCTGGGTCCAGCCACTATCAGAGATGGAAGAGGATCAGCTGGCCTCATCTGGCCTTTTCAGGGACATGGGCCATGCAGGTTAGTCTCCTTAATTGAGCCACAAGCTGATTTCTCTAGAGAAAGTGAAGAAGAATGTCAGCTGTGTGGTGACAGTCTCCTGTGAGTAGACTACCTAAAATATAATGGGTACTACCTTGCTGCAGCCAGGTCTTGAAGAAAAGAGACTTTTCTTGCTTGAAAAAGACCCATCAGTGAAAGGCCAGCAGGTTTGGGGTACCAGAGAATAAGCCCATGACCCATTTTACGCCAAACTTTATTCCCTTTCTTTCATCTTCCAGCTGATGGAAGAGTTGTTTTTGTCTTTGAAAAGTGTGACAGAAGGTCAGAGGATACCCACATAACTGCTTCCCTTGAGTTAAAACAAATCACGTTCAGCAAGACCATGTGCATCCCTGTGGGACAGACTCTAATGAAAATGAAGGCAGTCCAGAAAACAAGTATGTGTAGGTTGCTTAACGCTGTAGTTTGTGACCCAAGAAGATGCTTTAGAGCACAGATGAGACATTGTGGTGTACTTAAAACTGTGCCCACAGCTAATACATTAATGTGACTTTCACTTCTGCATCAGAAGACTGCTAGGAACAAAGCCAGCTCGCCATAGTGGCTCATGGAGTCCATGTGGCTAGCAGAGATTAATTTCTTTTGAAGCTAGAATTGGTGTAGCTGGCTCAACGTAACACTTAATCAAACTAATAAGCCTAACAAGGAGGGAAATCATGTCAGCCAGCAGGCTGCCTTTATTGACTCTCAGGTTTCATTGTAAATATCCAGGTCTTCTGGGAATGGAATTTTAGGCTGGAAATATGTGAGGGTAGTTTTCAGTAATCAGCCTGTGGCCTTTAAATTCAGTGAACACAGGTCAGTTGCTGTACTTTGCCAGCTTTTCTCTGACGTGCAGGTGGAAGTAGCTGTAGAAGTGTGGAAGCAGTAATGGGTGGGTTTAATCTCTTCTTTCTTTTATGCTTTCCAAATCTGAATGCAGAAAAATAATTTTGAGCAAATATTTAGGCTGCAAACAAATTTGAGGTGATTCAGGTCTGAATTTGGAGTTCAGACCCATAATGCTACTATTCCAACAAACACTATCTAGTTCTGGTCAGCCCAGTTTGGGAAGATGGGTGGATAGGGACAGTTCGGGACAGTTTTGCTGACCCAGAGGGCAGCATATGAGTGACCGGTCATGGTATTGCTTGGTATAAGGCTGTATGAAGACACTGGGTCACCAAATAGCCAGGGGGTTGCCTGGCTGAATATTTGAGGCCCAGCCTCTTAAATGTCTTGCCACCGAGGGGGATCCACCACCAGGTACTGACATCCCCCGCACACTGAAGCGGGGACCAAGGGTCCACAAAGCCCAGTGAAGAACAGAGGGGAAAGCAGGAAGACTAAGATGGTCAGTAGACAGTGCTAAGGACACGGAGTTAGAAAGCAGTGAGAACTTACGTGTTCCCCACTTCAGCCTACTGATTAGGCCCTTGCTTAGGAAAGGTGAAAGTTGAGCTCTAGTTTCCATGCTGGTGTAGGAGCTGCTTGTGGATGGAGTCCTGCCTACCCCACTGCTTTAACCTTGCCATTCTCCTCGTGGAGTCACTTGAAAAAGATTTTTTTGACTCACGGAGGAAGGAAATGAATTAACAGCATCTTGCAAACGTGTAAGTGCTAAGTTTTGTTGTGGCTAGTGTGCAAGTGTGCTAAGGATCCACAGAACTGCAGCCACAGAGAAGCACTGATCAGTGTAAACCAGAGGAGAGTAAAAGCTTCAGTTCACGCTCTGGCGCACGAATTAAAAAACATCAGCTTGCATTCTGCAGCGGCAGGCAATCTGTAAGTAGTTTGCAGGTCGGTCTCCTTAAGTGTAGCAATGGCTAGATTAATCTGAGAGGCACTGGATTACGCAGCATCCTTGAGATTAAACTATAGGAGAGGAGCTGCCATCTACCAAATCCCCAGGGCCAAGGATAAGCACTTTCCCTGAAAACTAAATGGAGAAGGGGTCTTCACTTAGTTTATTTTATCCTGTTATATTTATCTTAGGGTTGTTTTTAAGAGGCTTTCCCTAAAATATGTGGGACTGAAAAAAGCTGAGTTGATGCAAACGTTACAGAATGAGAGGGAAATGGATCCTGCCACCGGGTCTTGCTTATTGCCTCTGTGATTCTTTCTAGACTAACATGGTCAAAGTTTCCTTACTCACGTTTGGGTGGGAGCACAAGAGAAAGCAGGCTGAGATGAGGAGGTTTGAAACAATGCTGTTATTACTGAAATATGGTCCCATGCAGCGTGTGTGTGTATGGATGTGTATGGGTGTTGGACAGCTATAAATCAAGCCGTATAATCTTGAACGCTGTCATCTGTTGAGAAGGGAATTGATCAGGTCTCAAATATTTGATTATGCTGCCTCTTTTTCAATACATTTGTTATTTCTAAACTCCTGCTCCAGTGAGGGTCAGCTATGACCTAGGCAGCTGAAGCAGAATCCTAGCTCTTTTGTTGACTAAACGGAAACTCTCAAAAAATCAAGTCCAAAACTTAGCTTTTTTTTTTTTTTTTTTTTTTTTTTCGATGAGTGTACGCTTTTTTTTTATATGATTTTTTTTGTGGATAAATGTTTTGTTC